GTCCTCGGTGGAGTTGGACACACCTGAGGGACGGGAAGGAAGTGGGTAATGATGGCGCTGTGGCCAATTTTTGCGTTGATGGCTTTGTGGTTAATGTGATCTGTTATTGTTTAAAAGAAATTGATATATATGTGTGAGGGTGTGCGTGCATGTACATATTAAACGGCAGAGTCCTCGTCGTACCTACTGCCGAGCGAAGCAAGGCGAGGACGGGGAAGGTAAGGTGGAGAGGGAAGAGGAAAATATGTGATGAGGGAGGGAGAGACCCTGGCAATGATTAGATGGCAGTTAAATTCATATATATTTATGATATATGTGCTATGTTATATATTGGCTGAGTGCAATCTATGGGCGAATGTTGAAAAATATGTATATATATTTGTAAGCGCAGTCGGGCTTTGGTCGGATATGCGATTACCACAACTGCCTGCTGAGCAACCGGGCAAAGCTTTGTATTTGTTGTTTCATTCGCTGACAACTGTTGTGTGATAACACATAGATGAGGGTAAATTGTGCTTGTTTACCATGTGTTCTTGAAAATATGAAGCTTATGAGAAAAATATCTTCTTACATTTCTTTCTCTCTCTCTTCTTCTTATGACAACAATTCTTCATCTCCTTGCTCATCATACGTACATCTCATCTCATTCTTCGTACTCCTACTACTCTTTACTAAGTTCTGGTCGGTGCTCTTCTCATACAGGATTTCTTTCGTTTTCTCTTTCACTCGTTTCATCAGTTTCTACCTTTCATCTTCTCTCATTCTTCATTGAATTATATTACGTTTCTCATAGTGCATGCTCGGTTAGTTTCTGTCTTCAACTCCATCTTTTTCTTCTCTAATCGTTCAGTGGCATTAGTGTCTCTTCTGTCACTCTTATGCAATTGCGATTGTCTCTAGACTTGCTTTTCTCTAATACGTCGTCGCTTCTTCATTATCTTCTTCTGACTCTTTTGCTTGTTTAATCTCTTTTTTAACATACGTTTTCTCATTATTATCTTATTTATTTTCTACCTAATTAAGAAATACTATACTTATTTGAAAACGAATTTGTGGAAGTCTTCTTAACCTGTCACTACCAACAAATCAAGGCTGTGGACCTCTTTTCCTCTACTGCTGTTCTACTTCATCGTCATCTATCTTCTATGTAATACCTGCTCTGTCGTTGGGCATTAACTATTCATTCATTCATCTGCAAGTAAATTTTTCTCTATTTTCGATTAATCTTGACAAATTTTCATAACTCTCTCTCTACTCTCTCTCTCTCTCTCTCTCTCTCTCTCTTTCGCTGTAACAGTCCTACTTTCTTTCTCGTCTGCATACCCTTCTCTCTCCCTCTACCCTCCTTACATTTCTCTCTCTTTCTTTCTCTCTCTCTCGTGCTCTCGTTTTCTTCATCTCTCTCTACTCTCTTCTTCATATGTCTTAAAACTCTCTTTCTCTCTCTCGTCGTCTTAACTCTCTCTCTTTCGTCCACTCTCTTCTCGTCTCTCTTCTCTTGCGTCTCTCTCTTTTTGTCTCTCTCTTTTCATTCTCTCCTCTTACTGCATCATCGTCTCTCTTATCTCTTCTCGTATCCTTCTCCTCTGTCTCTCCTCTTTCTCTCTCCTACTCTCATCTCTTCTCTCCTCTCTCCTGCTCTATTCATCTCTCTGTCTCTCTCTCTCTCATCTCTTGGCTCTAAGTCTTCATCTTTGTTCCTCTCTCTCTCTTTCTCGTGCATCTCATCTTTGTCTTTTTGTCTCCTTCTAACTCAAATCTCTTGCTAATACTCTTCCTCCTCTCTCTCTCTCTCTACGTCTCTCTCTCTCTCTCTCAAGCAAACTCGTGGCTTAACTCACACTACATCCCCATCAATCCCTCTGGACTCGAATACTTCTTCTCTCTTATTTCTCCTCTTTTCTCTCTCTTTCTCCTCTCTTTTTCTCTCTCTCTTTCTCTTTTCTCGCTCTATTTCTCTCCTTCTTCTCTCTCTCTTCTCTCTCTCCTTTCTCTCTCTCCTCTTCTCTCTCTCTCTTCTTCTTCTCTTCCTTCTCTCCTTTCTTTTCTCTCTCCTCTTCTCTCCTCTCTCTCCTCTTCTCTCTCTCCTTCTTTCTTTTCTCTTCTCTCTTCTCTTCTTCCCTCTCTCTCCTTCTCTCTCTCTCTCTCTCTCTCTCTCTCTCTCTCTCTCCTTTTCCTTCGTTCTTCATTCCTTCTCTCTCTCTTCTTCTCTTCTTCTTCCCTCTCCCTTTCTCCTTTCTCTTCTCTTTTTCCGTCTCTCTTTCTTTCTTTCTTTCTACTCTGCTCTCTTTCTCTCCTCTTTACTGTCTTTCTTTCATTTTCTTTTCTTCTTCTCTCTCTCTCTTTCTCTTTCTCTCGTTGCAATCTCTCTCTCAAATCTTCTCTCGCTTTCCTCTCGCTCTTTCGTTCTCATTCTCTCTCTTTCTTTCTCTCTTTCATTCTCTCGTTGTACTCTTCCCTCTCTCTCTCTCTCTCTCTTACTCCTTCTCTTCTCTCTCGTCTTCTACTACTGCTCTTATCTATTTTTATTTTATTTCGTTTTTGAAGTTCCCATCCTTTTTTCGTTCTCGAATTCTCCTCTTTCTCTCTCCCTCTCTCTTCTTTCTGTCTTCTCTCTTTTCTCTGTTGTTCTGCTCTCTCTCATACTTTTCCGTTGAATCTAACTCTCCTTCTCTCTTCTCCTCCTCTTTTCTGCTTTCGTCTTCTGCTCCCTCTCTCATCGCTTGATTCATCACTTTGCTTCAATACAATCTCTTCTCCCCTTTCCTCTCATCTCCCAATCTCTTCTACCCTTCTCTCTTCTCTCCTTCTGTCTCTCTTTTCTCTCATCTCTCTCTCTCTTCTCTTGCTCTCGTCTAAGGCTCTCTTTCTTCTCTCTCCTCCTCTCTCTCTCTCTCTTACTTCTCTTCTCTCATCTCTCTCTTTCCCTCTCTCTCGCTCTTCTCTTTTCCTTCTCGCCCTTTCTTTCTCTCTCTCTCTCGTCTCTTTCTCTCGTCTCAAATCGTGGCTCTCTCCTCTCTCTCTCTACAATCTCTCTTCTTTCTCTTTCTCTTTCTCTAAACTCTCAATCTCTCTCTCCTTGTATGTATGTGTGTTGTCCGTGTACTTTGGTTTGAAGTCTGTATACACTTGCTACACTTTGTGTGTAATGATTCTGATACTATACAAATGTTTTTTCGTGAGGTGGGTGTAATTATGTAAGTATATAGATGTGCTTTTGTATGTCTACCTCTATATCCTTATATAGTCTTCATATAGGTTATATCTTCAAATGGTGAATGTATGATCTTTATGTTCCTTATGTCTACTGCACTGTTCTTCGTCTGATAAAAGTAAAATCCAGTTATAAGCGCGTTGTAAGAAACATTTTAATAAATTGATTTAGATAACAAAGTGTACTGATAAGGCTGTGGTGTGTGGTCAGGGAGAGCTGAATGCGTAATATCTACTCATGTTTAAAAATGAAATACTTTCTTGCTTCTAGAGTTCTAAAAAATTTTATTTAAGAGTTAAGGGTGGCTGTCACGTGTTATGGTGTTTACCGCTTGTTTTACAAAATAACAACTACCTAACCGTTACTCTTTATATATAGGTCTCCCACAGTTATTAAGCAATTGGATCCAAATTATTTTTATAGGTATTAAACATTCCAAACATTCCCTGTACCTCATATCTCTGTGTGGGATTGAATGCAAGGTCCTACTCTATAAATTATCACGCTTCCTTTCCTTAAGTGGTATAGAAAGCGAAAAAAGAAATGCGTGATTTTATTACTGACCTTTTACCATTAACAAGCCTTTATTAGAAAATGGTTGTGGAGTATACAAATGTACACTATTTGACAATCAAGAACTATATTTTATTGCTTTAAACTACCTATATTTCAAGACTATTGTTCCACGACATCTATTGGTAGTAGATTGCAAAAAGATAAATAGGCAATGTGCATTTTGTATGTAAATTTAAACTCAAACTTATTTAACACCCATTATGCATTTTGATATTTGTAGGCGACAAAGGGGAGAAGCTTCAGAATCGTTATATGAGTAGAGGGAGAAAGAGGGGATACGTGAATCAAAGATCGAGGGGAGAGTCGGTGGTTGGGTGGAGTTGGGAAGAGGGGAGACGACTGGCAGATAAGACAGGACTTAAAGACTGAGGCAGAGTTGCGATTGAAAGAGTGAGGATACGACAGACAGTAGATTCAGACAGAACAGAATCAAAGTAGAAAATGTGAAGGGGAAATGGGTGGAGGGGTCTAGAGGAAGCAGACCAAAATCAAAAGGAAGGGGTATACTATATGGAACGGCGCTGAGCGTAGGCTTGGGACAGATCTCATACAGAAAATAAAGAGGGCTGAGGGCGGACGAAGGATAGGGGGGCTGATTAGGACTTAGGAATAGGAAAAGTCGAATGTGGATGAATTTAATACTACTTTCGCTTTTTTTCTGTGCTGCGACTGTGTTTATCCAATTTTCATGCACCATTATTGGACTGAATAAATCATTCAGCTGTAAAAATAAAACTATGTGTGATAAGTATTCAAATGTATACATAACTCGTTTCAATTACTGATCAATTAAGAAACGCTTATTATGAAACAGTTTTTTCGACTAGCGATTTTTTTCATTTTTTCGTTTTACTAACCGTGTTTTTATTCTCTATATTTGGTAAATTGCATAAATTGCGCGTTGGGTATACTTTTTTGTACGTCAATATCATCACCTCAGCTAATTAGTCAAAGCTGTTTGTCTCACTGCACCATCTAATGAGCGCTGTTAGCAATGTAGTTATTGGTAGCTGACACAACTTAGAAATGATAGAATTTTGAAACCAAGAAACTTCCTGCAGAAAGCGACCTTAGTTACTCTCCCTTGCACTACTTTCCTTTTCCAGATATGTATCTCCTAATGTATTAGAGACTGTCGTGTATTAGCAAGGGTCGTGTGGAGATATAGATCAGCAGGTTCAAAGAAATGTGTTTCAACAGGTGATGTCTCAGGGTCACGACACGGGAAAGAAC